CGCATGTGATTTTACGGCCTTGCTGTATGGTTTCTTCTCTTGGGTCTCAGTGACACCATTATGAATCTAAACTAAAGTCTATTGTTTTTCCATTGAACAGAAACAAGTGAGAGATTTACAGATTGTGAACGATTACCAGCCTTTTAAAAAGGATGTCCAGCTCAGATTAATGCTTTATGGACCTGCTGGTGCTGGCAAGTCCAGCTTCATCAACTCTGTGGACAGTGTTTTACGAGGCAAAATAACTCATCGAGCTGCTGCAGATTCACTCTTCCGCGGGAGCTTCACCACAAAAGTAAGAATCCCTGAAAGCATTTCACAAGACACAACAACAATTAAAAAACAGAGAACATATTTTTCTCTGGCTCAGTGGTTAGAGCTGGTGCCCCATGTTCTGAGGCTCAGTCCCTGCTGATGAGAGTTTGAATCTGGCTTGTGGTTTGTTAACACATGTCTTCTTTTTATCTCCCCCCTATCAAGAGGCTGATTCTCAAATAAACCGGATAATCTGGCCCCCCCCCCCAAAGATTTTAAGTTTTTGTTTTTTTTATGTTGATTTGTGTTTTTTCTTTTAAATATGTTCTGTTTTGTGAAATTATGTTATGTTATAAACGTTAGGGCAACCATAACGGCATTTTTTTTGTCTTACAGTACAGAGAGTACAAAATCCAAAAAGTACCAGGGACACATTACCCTTTTGTCTTCAATGACATCATGGGCCTTGAGAGGGATGCAGGAAAAGGAGTTTGTGTTGAAGACGTCAAACTGGCCATGAAGGGACACGTGAAGAATGGTTACCAGGTACAACTTGGTACAACACAATCCCACATTGTGGTCATTTTCTACTATCAATATTATGGATGGGATGTATGAAATACGAAATATGGAAAACTAACGAGACTCCATTCGAAATTATTGTATTTGTGCATGCAAATTATTTTTTTATTATTTTTTATTTAACATTGTTTTCCAGTTCAATCCTATCTCTCCCATCTCTGTGGATGACCAACACTACAACAGAGACCCCTCTCTAAATGACAGAGTTCATGTTCTGGTTTGCGTCATCCCTGGCAACATAGCAGGATTGCAGAATGATGATAACCCATCACAGTTACTGACTGAGGATTTCGAGAAACAGTTGAGGGAAGTCAGACTTGCAACCAGTGATATGGGTAAGGGTTGGATAATAAATGAACAAATACAATTATATACATTGTATTTTAAAAGTATATTTAATGTATCATAATTCTAATAAAATATAATAACACAGTAAAATACCTGACCAACTTTATTTTAACTGAATCTGATTTTGCTCTGTATTGGCAGGGATTCCTGAATTTGCTATTCTCACCAGAATTGATGAAACCTGTCCAGAGGTCAACAAGGATATAAGGAACGTGTATAAGAGCAAGTACCTGAAGAAAAAGGTACATTTCTATTGGTAATTTAGTTTTAGGCAACTGTAATTCAAGTTGGAATATCATTTTGTTTTACACTGTATATTGTAACATCAAAATCTCCTTGGATCAGCACTTTCATTTCTTAAATAGCATATTCTTAAATGTAGATTGAGGAGGTGAGTGGAAGGATGGGATTTCCACAAAACTGCATCTTTCCTGTGAAGAACTACCACTCAGAGATCAACATACATGATGACACAGATACACTGATACTGAGCGCACTGACAGGGATGATTGAATCTGGAGAAGACTTTGTCAACGACCTGTAAAACTACATTCTGCTGAGGCAGGTCTTCTTTTTATAACAACATGTAAAAAGGTCATGTTAACAATTATGATAATTACATGAAGTGGGCAAAATGGCTTTTAGTTTTTTGTTTGCAGCCTGTAATGCATAATATCTATAATATAAATGATGGTGTCTCTACCTTAATGAGTAAAGTATGAAAAGGCTTTATTTTTCCTATATTTGATGTTTTCGTTGCATTATGATATTGTTAGTTATATGCTTTTTTGATTCAGGTGGTAATTTATATTGCCGTCTCCAGGTAATCAAAAATCTGAATATTCGTAGGTCGAAGATGAGATTTGGTCAAATGTGTTCAGAATAATGATAACATATGCTGTACCTGTCATTGATTCAAAAGTGTTTTGCATATAATGATACGTTTTTTAATATAACCAGATCATATTCATCAAATATTGATAACTTTAATATTATGACATTTTTAAATGACATAATAAACATAATTGTTTCAATCAAGACAACAGATCAGAGCAGTTCTGTGATTTGCAGCTCATTCAGATCAAAGCAGCTTCACTTGTCTCTAAGAAAACCCTCGTCAGGTTTTAAAACATGCATGTGATTACACTCAAAAACAATACATGGTGTTTCTTATTTTTGCTTGCATTAAATGGTTCAACAATGATGTACATTAATTGTTTAAAATATTTGGTGAGTCCATATTTTGTTGTTACATTGAGAGGGTGCAAAGTCATGATAATCAGTGCCTGTTTTACACAGTGTGCCTATTCTAGGATGGTTACATTTGAATGCTTTGATTTCTGTAAAGATGAAGATGAAGCTGTTGATCTACAATCCTTTGATTCTCACCAATAATATTTTGAACAATAAATGCATTCACACATTCATTTGTGACTTAGTGTGTACTGTAGTCATTTGGTGTAAATCCTCATTGCTGAAAAAGTAAGGTTGAAACATATATATTCAAACTTTATATGAATGTATAGGATAGTCAAGGCAGCACATTTATTTGGGTTGTTGACACGCAGCAAATCATTTTTGGGTGGTCTCTGCTGTTTTGCTTCTAATGCTATGACCCAAAATGAATAATTGTACCGTATGGTTTAACAACAGCAAACTTGACATTTCACTCAGTAACAATGCCTCTACTTAAATGTCTTTAGAAATGTCCCTCTAATCATAAATGCTACAAACTCATTCATTCATTCCAATTTCATACATTTTCTTTAAGTAGATTTAGAATAAGCAATTTGGAGAAAGATATTATACAACAACTCAGAAAATGACATCACCTACTGTAATGCAGCCACAATAACACTGATGCCATATCACACTATTGGGATATGAGATTACATTTAATTTAATTTAGCTGATGCTTTTATCCAAAGCTTTTATCGTTTCATTTCACATTTAACAGCAGTATCTTTACTGAAAGCACCAGCTCAGCTTCAACACAACTCCCCTGCCAATACCATGATATACTGTGGCAATAACATATCTTGACTCTCCACTCACACGTTTCCTCCTAAAATAAACTTCATTGACAAGATACATTCCATAAATGATGTTTAGTCTGTAATATTTCTTAAATTCAATTTCAAACAGTTACTTATCTTAATAAAAAACATTCTAATTACATTTGAGATGTATTGCTACATATACATTATTTGTATTTTTTCCATAATGCTGCTGCCTCTCGAGGTTAAGAGTAATACTACAGCACATAACACAGAATGACAGAGTGCAATGCCAAAAATAGAACCGGGCTGTTGAGAAAACATCCGTAGCTGCAGCCCTGCAAGCCCGCCCCTCCCTTCTCCCCTGATTCTTTTAAATCATGTGATCTAAAGGAAACTGTAGATACCACCAAACCAGAATATAACAGCTATACTGGACACACTTCACATTCAAACCATGTTTTTGTATTTCAATAGTATTTGGGTAAACTCATGAGAAAGTGTGTTTAAGTTCTAAAGTCACATTCAGATTCAATTTTTAAAAAATGGGTGAAGAGGTCTACTGTTGGATCTGACACAGACTAAATGCATTCAGTCATTCAGTTGTGACTAAGTGTACTATTGTCATTTGTGAATGAATAAAGAGAAATCAACTTTACTTTATGAGGTCAGTAAACATTAAGTTGTACATCGATAAAGGCAATTCCTTTAAGTCACGGTGTGCTATAACTGAACATGAAAGTGAAAGTGAGCAGCTGTTATCATATAAAAGAGACTTTCCTTTCGAGTTGAGAGGCACTTGGGTGAGAGACACATACAGTACCTGAAGGTGAGGATTTCTATCACTTCCCAATTCTTGTTATGCTTTCATCATTTTGATTATAGTTATCCTTCTTGTGTAGCACAGTTATAGAGATAATTACTGTATGTATGTTAACATTAGTTTTTATCTCAAACCTTTAATGTTTTGTAGAGCAGCACTTAGAAAAAAAGGAAATATATATAAACCTATATTTTTCTAGCTCTGGGTGTTTATTTCGTTTGATTTAATCTCTTTATAACCTGCACAAAAACCACATTTTCCAAAACGCTGCTTGTTTGTAGTGAGTAAGAGTAAATGAAAGGTACTGTGAAATATATAATTATCTGGATAGGGAGTGAATAAAGTTATATTTGATTTGATTTATTTATTTTTTACAGTTTTTTGTGATTTTACATTTGTACTTTTTAACTTCAACAAACTTTATTCGTTATATATTTTCTGAAGTAACAATTAAACAGACTTTAAGATTTTCCTGCAGCACATTTGAGTCAGTATGAGAAGTTGCAAAACAAAGGGATTTACAATATTATACATAATTATAATAATAATACTTTACTATACATGATGAATGTTGTGAAATATTTTATCTCAAATGTTGTATTGATATTGTTGTTTTTACAACAATTTGTTGTTAAAGCCATAGAAAACGACCAATCGAATTCCCCCTCACCTCACCTGCTGACTTCTAAAATGGGTAAGTAACTAAAAAATGTTTCAAACATTGCCTAATAGAGGTATACAAGTATATAGTGTAAATTCATAAGCAAGTCATGTGTGGATTTGATGAGCGGGACAATTTAACTTTTGATCAAGTGAAAGTAATTTTCTTTTTACAGTTGTTGGTTATTTTACCTTTGTACTGTTCAAATTGAATGAACTTTATTTGTTGTATATTTTCTGAAGTAACAATTCAACAGACTTTAATATATTAATAAATGATGAAAGGTTTTCCTGTGCAGACTTTGGAAGATTGTCAAATCTCTCAATGATTCTCCTACACCTCGCACTTCACTTACCACCTACTCCCACCTACCTCCACCTACTCCAAAAGGTGAGTAACATATTTCTAAACATTGCTTAAAGGTAGGGTAGGTAATTTTGGAGAAACCAGCTCGAGTGCGCTAGAAATTTGAAAATACACAACCGAAACAAATCTGCCACTTCCTTACAGAGCCCCTCCTCCAACCAACCCAGTCTCACGGCATTTAGTTTTCACCAACACGATTTTTAACCTATTGATTCGTGTTCACCAACACGATTTGCCCCTTTTTTTCGTGTTGCACAGCACGATTTTAAAAGCAATGTATTTCTACTGCCTGCAGCACGTATTTTTCTCCGGTAGGGTCGAGGAAGACCGGAAGCTGTGTGGTTCATAAAAACATGTTCTTACTCAATATCAAGCCACAGTTATTGCTTTTATTTGAAATCGTATAATTTCGGACTTTTGTTGCAGTCTGTGAGGAAAATAAATGGGGCTCAGAGCCTCAGGATACTGAAATCTGTATTTTTTAAATCTTTTTTTCCTTCTATTCTTTTCAAAATAACACACTGTTATTTACTCAACAATAACACACAATTATCCTTGCTTTTATTTATTGGTTTAATTCCATAATCTCGGGCTTTATTGGCTTCCGTCAGGAACTGAATTTCAAAATAAAAATAACCGGAAACAGACGTAGGCATTTCGAGCGATTACCCAAGATCCTCAGCTATGGTTTTAAGCTCGCTTATTGGATGTTTTTAGCCGCAATGCATGCTGGGATTTGGTGTTTATATGATATGAAATCCGGAAAACATTTTAAAAGAATAAAATAATACTTAATTCCGAGCACTCTTGCTTTTCTCTTTGAAAGTCATCACATAACGGCATTGTAATACACGGTTCGGCTGCATTGTATATTACAGATCTGCCGTAGTTCTTTATTTATAGAGCCCTGATGAGAAGACCTTTGGAAAAACTGAGAAAATTCCGCCGAAACGGAATACTTGACGTGGATCATAAATATATTCAACAATTAAACAACATCTTCAATTTCTCTTCACACAATACGTCTCCTTGCAGTATCAACACTAATTCGGCTGACTTTTACATTTGATCTAATTCACAGATTATGAAATAGTATAGCAATATGCTGTAAAATTATGTGAAAGCATGCATAAAACCACACATCTTCAGATGTTGTACGAAAACACAAGTGTCCTACACTAATAATACAAAGTTATTATGGCTGTGTGTACCTTGTGTGCACCTCCTAGTGGTTAAAGCACGTTATTGAATTATTGTGTTTTATTTGATTAAAAAAATATTAAGAGTACATACTTTCATAGGGGGAAAGTATAAATATAGAATATAAAAAATCAAGAAGATACTATAAGTGATCTCTACAATAAAACAGTTTAGTCCAGAATGTACAAAGATATTAATAGGAGGAGGTGCAAAACAGAAAAATGAATTAACTTTTATTTAAACATTAAATAACAGATTAAGGTCTTCTTTTAAATAAGAAAAAAACTTTGGGGGTATCTATCTACAGATAAATATTAAGCCTGACAAAGTACTTAACGTCTAATATATTGCTTTCCTGCAATGTTAACTATGTTGAAGCACTTATTTTAACTGATATTATACATATGAATTATACTCTTATGTATGTAGATAGAATAAGAAATGTGCAGAATATGACATAATATACAGTCTTTAATTAACTATTAGTAGAGAATAACGAGTAATGAATATACTTTATTACTCGTTTCCATTCATGTCAATTGCAGATACATGTTTAGTCTTCTCAAGCACCACCTATCAAATATCTCTCCTGATTGTTGGCACTTGACAATCACCTTACCTGAATTGTACTCAGGTGTAACTAAAGTCTGATTTAAGGGTTGTTTATATTTCACATAATTAATCAGAATCTGCAAAGTAACTCAAATAAATGCAGTGGAGTAAAAATACCAGGTTAACCTCTGAATTGTAGTAGAATTACAAAGTAACAATGAGCTGTCATGTGGGTATTAATGCTGCGCATTATGGACACAAGCGATTTTCACCCATTTATTAATTATATGTTTTACATTTGATAACACCAATGTGTTTAATACTGGCAACTTCTAATTGTGGGAAAAACGAAAACGTTCAGTAGAGACGTCCCATAGAATATTTTACGAAACACAATAGCCAGTTTGTGTAGTTCTGGGGGGGCGTTCGATTCCAGTTTTGGATAGTCTGGCGTGGTTTCGTTCCATTTCACACAGCTGTTTGACGCTCTGCGTAACCTTACGGGGACTGTAGTCCTAAACTAGTGTTTCTCAAACTTTTTCAGACCGCGGACCACTTAGCCAATAATAAAACACTCGCGGACCACCTAACTCCCCAAATATCCTAAATAAAATAATAAGCCTGTTTACCACTCCAACAGTATATTAAAAATTACAGCATAATAATGACAACTTTGTGTGAACTTCTCTATCGCTCGTTCACACATTAAATCGACAATACAAAACAACTACAGATTCTACAAGCATTTTGTTCATATGCGATTTAAACGGTAAATGCTGATAGATTTGACACATCATATGAAACGTAGACTACATTTATTATGGAGTTAATGTCCGTGCGAACAGAGCCGCAATTTACTGACAGCAAGATCGTTTGCTACTGAGAGATATGCAAAATACACCGCATTTAGTACGACAAACTTCCGCTGCGGATTTTCAAAATAAAATACAGTAAAACTATGGTTGCAGTCGCAAGTTAAATAGGAATTTAACAATAAACACAAGATAATTATTTACACTGTTACATTTACAAATAGCATTGTTTACTCACTCATACACTGCGTGTCTCTGTTGCCAACTAATGGGAGGAATGGTGCTGCTTGTGCTGAGACATCAGTGAAACAATGTCGGGATCCAAACTGGAGAGTTTGAGTCTCATATCACAGTCCACATTGATCCTGTTACGCTGCTTTGTTTTCAGACCAACAAGTGCAGAAAAACCAGCTTCACAGTTGTAGGTGGTTGGAAACGGCATCAACTGTTTCAGAGCAGCGTCAGCCAGCTCTGGGTGCTCAGGCTGGACGTGGACCCAAAAGTCTGTCAAGCTTTTCTCTCTGAAAGTCGTCCTCAGTGGCCCATCAGATGCGATGTCCACAAGGCTGTCAACCTGTCTCGGTGGGAGCTTGGAACTGACATGTTCAATGTGTGTTTTGTCCCCAAATGGATTCCTGATCCACTCAAAGCCTGCATCTAGTTCTGGGAAATATCTTCCCAGCTGAAAGTGAAGGCCTTGCAGATGTTCCTTGAAGGCTGCAACTGTGCCGCCGTCCAGCTCTTCATCTGCAGCGAGGAGAAAATCCGCCAGCGTCGGAAAACAGTCAAACTCCTGGCGATCCAGACGGACACACCACAATTCCATCTTGAGGCGTGCAGCTTTAATTTTGTCCTGCACATTGAAAACAGTAACAGCTTTCCCCTGCAGCGCTAAGTTCAGAGCATTGAGAACGCTAAAGACATCGGCCAGGTATGCCAATTGTGAGAGCCACTGGAAGTCATGCAGTCTGTCATACAGTTCATCAGTATGATGCAAGAATAACATCACCTCATCGCGCAGTTCAAATAGACGGGTGAGAACTTTCCCACGCGACAGCCAGCGAACTTCAGTATGAAAAAGCAGTTTTGTGTGTTCACTTCCCATTTCTTCACACAGAGCTTTAAAAAGACGTGTGTTCAGTGCTTTGGTTTTTATTGTATTCACAATTTTCACAGACTGGTCCAGTACTGATTTGAGGCATGGTGGCATTTTCTTCACAGCCAGCTGTTCTCTGTGAATGCAACAGTGTGTTGCTGTGGCGCAAGGTGCAACTGCGCGTATGCGCGCTGCCAGTCCCTTATGTTTTCCAGTCATTGCAGTCGCACCATCTGTGCAAATACCAACACATCGTGTCCAGTCGATATGATTCTGCACCATGAAATTGTTGACCGAGTCAAAAATGGCTTCCCCTGTGGTGTTGGTCGGCAGGGAACGACAAAAAAGAAATTCATCCTGCACACCGCCAGCATGAATATACCTTACAAAACACAGCAGATTTGCCTCGTTCCCGATATCAGTTGACTCGTCCAGCTGCAGTGTGAAAAACTGGCTTTGGCGTAAACGTGTGATCAGCTGATTTTTCACATCTTCAGCCATGGCTGTTATTCGCTGCTGGACAGTGTCATTAGAGAGTGGGACCCTGTTAATTTCGTCACTTGCGGTCTCCCCAAACAATATGTTAGTCATAACTTTGGCAGCTGGTTTGACTAAATTCTCACCTATCGAATGAGGTTTTCCTGCTTTTGCAATTAGAAGGGATACCCTGTATGATGCCTCTGTAGCCTTCGCATTTTCCCCCGGTACAAAAAACTGTGAGGGCGACTTCGTCATTTGTTTCTTAAATTCATCAAGTTTTCTCTCAAAAACTCCCAAATGTTTCCCAATGTAATCCTTGTGTTTACTTTCAAAATGTCGCTTGAGCTTGGCAGGTTTCATAGCCTCGTTCGCCAACGACTCGTAGCACAAAACACATTGTGGATTGGGATCCTCTTCATCTCCACTCCAAAAAAAGCCACATTTGATGTAGTCGCTGTGATATTTTCTCTTCACTTTAGCGCTGGACTTTCTGCATTCAAGCCGAGTTTCACAGCTTTCAGCCGGGTGGTTATTAGACAATGAACCACTCTCCTGGGACTCAGTAACGCACATAAAAGCACTTGTTGCTGCTGAATCACCTGCATCAGGACGATGCACCTTGACTGTTGCATCCGATTTTTCATTTAATTTTCTTTTAACTGACCCTGTCTTTAGCCATCGATCCATCTTGTCAGTTGACCGTTCTTTTGTTTATTTTTTTTAGTTGACCGCTCAAATTGACCGCGCAGATCATTTATGACATAAGACGTAAAACAAACGTACGTACCTACGTACCTACGTACATACACTACATCTATGATACACTCTATACTAGTAATTTTTTAACCGTTTGAGAAACACTTTAAACTTATAATATATATGAATTTCAAATGTGGCATTTTACCAATATACTCACGGACCACTTGGGGCCGCTCGCGGACCACTCTTTGAGAAAGACTGTCACGATAGCTGGGGATTATGGGTAGTGTAGTGTCTTTGGCCATCCTAAACTCAGAAATGTTGACAATCGCAATGATGCTCGAAATGTCCCTTATAGGCCTACGTCTGTTTCCGGTTATTTTTATTTTGAAAATCAGTTCCTGACGGACGCCAAAAAAGCCCGAGATTATGGAATTAAACCAATAAATAAAAGCAAGGATAATTGTGTGTTATTGGTGAGTGAATAACAGTGTGTTATTTTGAAAAGAATAACGAATTAGAAGGAAACAAATATTTAAAAATACAGATTTCCGTATTCTGAGGCTCTGAGCCCCATTTATTTTCCTCACAGACGGCAACAAAAGTCCGAAATTATACGATTTAAAATAAAAGCAATAATTGTGGCTTGATATTGAGTAAGAACATGTTTTTTATGAACCACACAGCTTCCGGTCTCCCACGACCCGACCAGAGAAAAAGACGTGCTGCAGGCAGTAGAAATACATTGCTTTTAAAATCGTGCTGCAACACGAAAAAAAGGGGCAAATCGTGTTGGTGAACACGAATCAATAGATTAAAAATCGTGTTGGTGAAAACGAAATGCCGTGAGACTGGGTTGCTCCAACACACACGAACGCGCACATGACCAATGAGGGCACGAGATAAGTTTGTGCACAGATGGAAAGCTGACAGGCAGGTAGGCCATCCAGTTACATTAGCCGGGCCGGCTAAAATGATTGGTCGTGCTTTTTACAGTACCATGGCTTCCACAGATGACATTTTTTAATGGATTTTTTGTCAAAGCACTTAAGATATTCATTGATATCGGGATGTTAAGAGCATTCCATGGAATATAACAAAAAGTGTATCTCGAGCCGGTTTCTCAAACTTACCTACCCCACCTTTAACACTAGAACTGCCAGAGGTCGCTGTATACCTAAAACCGCCAACGGGTAAAATGTACCCGCTATTGATTTGCAAGGTACAATGTTCTTTTATTTATCATACAGAACAGTGAGTTTTGATCGCACAGGGATGAAACGTATACCAATAGAATCTGTGGACTCTCAGCTTTTCATATTATATAGTTTGTGCAGATAGCATGAAATATAAAATATCGCTACCAGTGCTGATTTAAACGCTTGGTGTTAGACTTGTGTTTTTGTTTAGGTACAAATCTCTCTATCTCTCTCTCTATATCTATCTATAACTATCTATCGATCCATCTGTAATGTTCTGTTCTATTGACATATAATTGTCTACATTAACAGACGACGCGGACTACTTCTCTCATTCCGAGTGTCCATCTTTATTCAACTGGCACGTAACCTGCACACATGCATTACGTCCTCAAGGTGAGCTCAATCATCCAAGATCTTGTATTCTGCAAGATGTTACACTATCTATAACTATCTCTCTCTCTCTATCTATCTATCTATATCTATCTATCTATCTATCTCTATCTCTCTATCTAGCCTATAAGGAACCGCAGTAGACAAAAGGCGTTGCTATAGCAACACGTCATGTTTACGCTGCATTTTCTATGAGGTAAATATTACCCGCTGGCGGATATGGGTATAAATGGCAATTTTGTTGGCGATTTTTTCAATCTGACTTCTTATTGACAATTTTTAACAACAGAGGGTGCTACATAACACACTTTCAGGAAAAGTCACGGACTGGGAGACTTTAATATGCTATGGAAAAAAAGTTACATACAATCAAAAAACAGCTGCAGGTAAAATTTACCCGTTGGCGGTTCTAGTGTTAATAGATTAAATCAATCAAAATGGGACTAATGTTTTACTGCAAATGTTCACTTTACTTTTCAGTTCTGCCTCAAGAATGGAGGAACGGTCCTTGGGGGTGAGTTCATTTTTTTCAATGTGGTGTTTAGTGGCTTTTATTCAAATAACAATTTTTAAAAGCACAACAATGAACCTGCACACTCTTTTGTTGAGACTGACCATTGTTATGCAAATGTTTCTATTTGTTGTCACTTCTTAGAAACATGATGTGTTTTTTTCTTGGGTCTCAGTGACACCATTATAATCAACTGATTTTATTTTCCATTGAACAGAAAAAAAGCAGTAGACTTGAAGTTTGTGGAGGATTACAAGCCTTTTAAAGATAATGTCCAGCTCAGATTTATGCTCTATGGACCTGTTGGTGCTGGCAAGTCCAGCTTCATCAACTCTGTGGAAAGTGCTTTACGAGGGGAAATAACTGATCGAGCTAAAACAGATGCAATCGGTGGCAAGAGCTACACCACAAAAGTAAGAATCCCTTTTCAGTGTTATCATGAATGTCTTACATTGTAACACCTGAAATGTAATACTCTTTTATCTATTATATTATTTTACTTTTAAGCAGGAGACAAACTGCTATGGTGGCCCTGAAAGTCAAAACATAAAAACCTTTGACAAGACACAACAACAATTAAAAAACATGAAGTATTTCTTTCTCTGGCTCAGTGGTTAGAGATGGTGCCCCATGCTCTGAGGCTTGTGGCCTGTTAACACGTGTCATCACTCTCCCCCTATCAACACTTTGATTCTCAAATAAAATGCTGTCTGGCCCAACAAAAATATTTTTACAAAGTTGTTTCACATTGTTTTGTTTTGTAAAAATGTACTTTGTTAAAAAAAAGATATTGATTTTTAAAATGTTGTTCTATTTCGTATATGGCTTCGCCCTCTAAGGCTATCGCTATTGGGTTTACCCTTCTGCGCCCCCGCGCAGTACTGAAAACACTTGTAGTCCACGCCCACCCGCTAGGTGGGCCCCACCCTCGGGCCTCCTTCCGGTATAAATAGGGAGGTTGCCCGGCGATCTGCTCCCTCTTTTCTTCAACAACCAGCAGTTTACTGAAGCACGAGAAAAGCAACATCATGAGCAATAAAGAGTGTGTCCGTATGTGCCCGTCGGGCAATACGGGCTACATTATGAGCTACGATTTGCATCCGATATGCGCAGCCTGTCTGGGGCCAGAGCACGCGGACGCGGCTCTCAGCCAGCAGGTCGCATGTCCTCACTTTGTGCGTCTTCCTTCGTCCGACAGGAAGCGAAGGGCGGACGCTCTAGCTGCTGCGGGTGAGGAAGACGTCTGGGGTGGGCAGGAACCCATCCAGAACACACCACCGTGGCTCCAGAGGAGGCGGAGGAGATCGCTAAGGCGGCCAGCACGGCGCTCTCGCTGTGCGCAGCCGTGGCGGTGTCCCAGGCGAGGATTAGCAGCCTGGATGACACAGATCCAGCGTCACCTCTGGTTACAGCAGGCAGCGGTCACAGAGCCAGCCAGGAAGGTTTTACTGGACGCTCCGATCAGCTCGGACGGGCTGTTCGGGCCCCAGTTCCTGGCCATGGTTGATTCCATGAAGGCGGCATCGGAGCAGGCGGAGGACATCCGCCAGCACGTCGGCTGGCTCCAGCCAGCGGTGAAGCAGCAGCGACACCAGCGGCGGCAGCAGCAGCCGACCCGGCCACAGCGGCAGACGGACAGACACCAGCAGCAACAGCAGCCGAGGCGTCAGAATCGTCCGTCAGCGGCGGCCGGGGCACCGGCCCACACCTCCAGGGCACCGTCCTGCACCTACGGGGATACTCCCGTTCGGCGTCTGCTCCATGAGAGCCGCCGAGGAGACAGAGCGGCCTTGACGGTTTGGGAGGGAGTGTGAGGAAAATAAAAATAAGCTTATTTTCCAACATGTTGGCTGAGTCATCAGTTTCAAATGTGTTTCACATATCCCCCACTCTGGGTAAACCAGCTGTCTATGACCTATCGGTTAATAGCCAGCAGGATTCGTTACAAAAGCCTGCGCATTTAATCTATCGATTAATAAGCTGCGGAGCACAGTAACTACACCAGCTGCCTTCAATCTGGTGATTAGTAGGCAGCATGGTTCGCTGCAGGGTTCTGGTGGTTATAACTTTCGGTTATTAAACCACAGACCTCGCGGCATTCCTCTATCCGAGATACGCCACCTACACATGGTGACAATAAGCCCATGAGCGCCGTGGTAACGCCCAGTGCTTGAATTGGAATGAAAAAGGTGCCAGTACTCTAAAATCAGCAACTTTTTCAAGTCAATTTTATATATACAGCCCACAAACAAGAATTTGGCTACTATAATGCTGGTGGGTTTGTCTCTTTACTACTGTATATTTTAGAAAGGTTCACTGTACTTAACATTTTTTATGATAGGCAGCGGATATGGCTAAAGCTCAGTAAGGTCAATATTAACTGAAAATATAGCAATCAAAGTCTAGATCTTCTGCTGAAGACACATGAAGCAGAGACCTTTCAGGTGAGAGCCCCTCTGGTGGTGTTCAACATTAATGACAAGGAAAAAAAGCTCTGGTCAGAAGCATTTTTTATAAAAAGCTTTAACAAAATTAAGTATTTCTGTACATTTTGAATGCAATCTAACTTTCCAACTCAGAAAACGAAAAACGAAAAAGTGCCAAAAGTCTTCTCACATGGCTGAGCTGCTTTGCAATATACTTCACCACTGAAGAATACAAATATGTATAAAGTAAACTATGATGCAATCTAACTTTCCAACTCAGAAAAATGATAAAGAGCATGAACAAAGAACATGTAAAAACAAATGCAAAATTTGCACAATCTAAAATGAGAAACTGTAACTGCAAGTAACAAAGTCTGAGCCATGGTAAAGAGTTACATTGAACACCAAGCTGATCAGATAACTCCCTGGTTGGTCTGAAGTCCTTCTATCTCCAGGATCTGTACAAATTGGCACATTATGCCAAAAGTCTTCTCACTGGGTGAGCTGCTTTGCAATATACTTCACATTGTTAGAAAAGGCTCCAGAAGGCCTTGGGGACATCAGTATCAGGGGCTGGAGCTGGACAGGCTCTTTCATCAGCACTTCTCCTTCCCTTTGCCAGCCAGGACCTCACATACTGTTCCGGATTGAACTGTCCTAGTGATGGTCCATTACATTTAATGAAAACCAGGCTGGACAGTCGGCTGACAGAGAGAGCATTCCTTTTTGCAGTAAGGATATCGTTCATGCAGCTGAATGCCCGCTCACACTCACTAGAGGAGACAGCGATGGTTCGGACTGCTTTCAGTAGAGGCTCCATGGCAGCAGGTGTACGGGATGCCCTGGTTTCCTTGTATTCGCGAAAGCCCTGAACAGTCTCTCTTCTGTCCACTTTCAACACTTCGCACAAACGTAGCACCTCTACGTCCCCATACTGTACGTCTAACTCCTCTTCAGGCCAACTTCCAGGATGGTTAACTTTCATGTCCTGGATTAGCTGATTGTCCCGGGCCTCCCGGCCATGTAATGGGATTTCTCTTGTGCTGACATGAGAGGAGGTTGTGGAAGTCATTCTGTGTCTCAGATTCTCTACCATACTGCGGAAAAACTGACCTGCATGAATCTGTACAAGCCTGCCATTCTCACGCAGGGCAACACCCTTGAAGGACTTCTCAGCTAGAGCTGTATGAACTGTAGTCATGTGTGGGCCAGGCATGGTGACCATGGATTCAAAAACTCGTATTTCTCGAGTTAAGAGCCTATCTGCTGTAGGCAGTGTCATCTCTCTTTTTTGGAGTTGCCGAGAGAGGTCGCTGAGCTCTGTGAGCGCATCGTACATCAGTCCCAGATTGCTGACAAACGTTGCAGATGTGAGCACATCATCCAGGCCCTTGTACTTTGCTCTGTCTCTGGAATCCCTGCTCGTGTCGTTTGCAGCATTTGTGAAGTGATCATGAAGCACTCGGTAGTTTTCCCAGACTGCTCTGACGCTCCTTTCACTTGAAGCCACCCAGCGGATGGACAAAACACGCCCTATCACCAGGAGACGCTGTCCGACTGCTTGCGCACACTGCGCTAACTGCCTCTGATTTTTGGGGGAGGCATGGAACAAGGAATAGAGTTTGTCAAAAAAGATCTGGAAATGATTGAGCCCTGAGACCTCCTTGACCACATCCCCAACTGCCAGCTCTAGACGATGATTGGAGCAGTGCCACACAAACAGGCTTGGGAATTTACTACACAACTGGGTAGCAACGCCTGTTCTCTTCCCTAGCATGACTGAAGCCCCATCACATGCAAAAGAAACGAAACACTGACCTAAAAAGTCCTCGTTAAAATCTCTTCCAAGACACTCCATTAACGCCTTTGTGATGTCATCAGCCGTTGTTCCATCCAACTCGATCAGCTCCCAAAAAAACGTTTCGGGCTCAGCATCAGCTAATGCTGAGCGTAGACACACAACAAGCACCGTTTTACCACTAATAGTGGTAGATTCATCGACCAAAACACAGAGTTTTCTTTGGTTTTCTGTAATGTCTTTTGCCATTTTTTTCTTCAGCTCATGAGCTATGTGGTCGATGATTTCGCCACAGGTTTTATTGGAGTGCAAAACCCTGCCCACGTTCAGCCCATTCAGTTTCTGTACATTCAAATCAATTGGCATGTCTGTGAATGGCCGGCTATGTATGCCAATTTTATATGCCGTTCGAAAAACTCTGATAGTGGTGTCTAATTCAGATTTATGCATAGACTGCACTTGATGTTGAATAGTTTCACGTGAAGCAGATGTAAGGATGTCAGCAGCTTTTACATGGGCTTGTGATTCTTTATGTTCTTTGATTTTTTTTCTCAGGCTAGCTTGTTGTTTGCCCATGTCAACACCGAAATGAGACACTGCACACTCACCCCATTCAGTTGACAGTTTCAGTCCTTGTCCAGTGTGTATTCCCAAAGATTTGACATCTCTGCATATCCGACATCCTAGCTTCTTATCTTTAAGAAGGAGCCATGCATTGGTCTTGCAAAAATATTGCACCTGGTCCGTTGTCCAGCAGTCCGGTGCATCGCTTTGCCCGGTGTTGGTGGTGGCAGTTGAGCCAGCAGCAGCTAAAGTTAGAGGCTCTGGAGGAGGCGGCGGAGCTAGTGCTAATGCTAATGCACTAGAACTTGGAGCAGGAGGATCAACCAAAGAAAGCTCCCCATCAGACACAATTTCCAACACAGGCACAGCATTCTCTGTATTTGAAGTTTCTTCCGGCGACAACCGCTGTCTTTTTGCACTTTTATTAATCCACGCTAACATTTTAGAAATGCTAATTTGTGACGTGACTTGCTTTCCTTCTCTCGGGGGCGTGCCTGCTCTGTTCTATCACTCTACATAGCCACCCACTGGGTGGGAGTTGCACTGCATAAACACAACACACGTGCATCTAGGTATGTAAATTGTAAAGCATTAAAACATGGTTTTACTAACAGTTTTCAGTATG